GACCATGTTGGCGATCGCCTCCAGGCCCTCTAGCCAAATCCCTGCGGGAGAGGAGCGGGCAGTGAGGCCCCTCTGACGGCTCTGCTGCTGCTCGCGGGTTGCAGCCCCAGCTCAGCGACAGCTTTGGCACAGCTGCAAGAGCTCAAGGCAGGAGGCCTCCGAGCTGTTCTCAACCTCTGCAGGGTCTGACGTCGCTTCTCCTTCCCCAGCCCACAGCTCTCCCTGTGCTGTGAGGCCACGCTGGTCCCTGGCAGAGGAACGCTCGGGGGCTTCACGCCAGCCCTGTTGGCGCGAGCAGTGGCAGCGGGAGGAGGTTGCTCCTTGGGCTCCGTCTCACCGATGTCGTTGGCTTTCCTGGGCACCATGCGCCGGTACAGCCGCATCATCTTGATGGCATCCAGGTGGATCTCGAAGATGTTGTTGCAGAATGCCAGCAGCGGGGCGAGGGGAAAGGCGGCGACGAAGATGGTGGTGAAGCGGAGGAGGGAAACCGCCGGCTGTTGGCACCGCAGAGGGGACACCCTGCAGGGTCCTGGCCGCTGCCTGGGCTCGTCCTGCCCAAGGCTGGCAGGGTCCCTGCTCTCTCTTGCTGTGGGAATGATCCCCTTGATGCCTGAGCCGTTGGAGCGGGGCTGAGCACGGAGCTCAACTCAGAGCTCCCCCCTGCCTACGTTTGGGCTGCCCAGCCCAGGAGGGCACGTGGCTCTGCACCCAGTGTCCCTCCTCCCCAGTCCCCTGCCCTGCGTACCCATCTCCAAGAACTCGTTGAACAAGCTGAAGGGGTTGACCTCGTTGAGTTGATAGTTGCTCAGCCACTGCCTTTTGCAGGGGTCCTCGGCCTCCTCCTCCTCTCCTAACATGAAGCTTCTCTTCTTGGGACGCCCCTTCTTCTTGCGCATCTTGTGGCGTATCCAGCTGCAAGGGGAGGGAGCGATTTGTCCGGCTGCCCGCAGAGGACAGCGGGGCCGAGCTGACAGCCCTGGGGACCTGAGGAAGCGAAAGGAGGAAATCTTGGCCCAAGGACTGGGGTAACTCTCCGTAAGAGCTGGGAAGCTCTCCCGACCGCGTGGGAGGAAAGCTTACGGGATGAGATACTCCATCACGTTGCTGATGGTCTGCTTGAGCAGCATAATGATGGCCATCTGGATGAAGAGGTCGGTGATGCAGCCGCTGGGGTGGCACTGCGAGGGGACGAGAGGG